TTCTTAACTAATTCTCTCCTTCCTCTCTCTCCTGGCTGTCTCTCCTGGTTGTCTATCCTGGTTGTCTCCTGTATATTCTCCCAAAAAATTCTGTGAAGCGCTAGAGTGTTCAGGTTTCGCTTGAAGAAAAGGTAGCAACCCTACTACAAGTTCATGTTGTGTAGCCCAAGGAACAACTAAAACTGCAGCTCAGGGAGGTCATCAAATATGGTCGCCTAGGGAGGAAAGACACCAGAAGTGTGATATGAAGATACAGGGACCGGTCTATGACAGTTCTGGCCCTACTGGGTGGCCACATTGCAGCACCGCTCTACCGGCTTAGTGGAACTCCTCAGGGAGGTCATCAAATATGGTCGAGTCCCACATCTTGTATCTCCTGCCAAATAAACACAAACAAATGGAGTGTAGGAACCGCAGCCGGAATACCCCAGTGACGCTGTTGGCATTGTTGTAAGCTGAAAGGATACATTGTCCTCTCTGGAGGATGTTCCTCTGGTATTGCTATGGAGAGTGTATCAGAGAGGCAGTGACTAACCACATAGCTTATTGTACTGCAAAACAAGTGGAGCTTCATCTGACGGCAATACCCTGTGTGCCATTCATGTTGAAGGGCGAGTATGGCAAGAAAGACAGGAGCTAACATTTACAGACTGTGTAGAAAGCAACAAAGTTGTGGTTTTCAATGTGAAACACGAATGAGCAAAAGCAACCTATTAAAAGCTGAACTCCGGCCTTCCTTTCAGTCTTGCACAGTTGTACCGGCTCCCTTCCAGAACTGAAATTGCGTACTTTGATTTCACTGCACACTGGGAGCTTCTCGCAATGTGTATTAGAAGCTGCAGCAAGTCAGACAGAGCCCGTCTCATTTCCTGGCTGGAGGACGTCCAGCATCATCTGGTAATACCTCAGCCGGGTTAGCCCCCCCATATCAAAATTTTTGAACAAAACATATGCAGTTGGTTAGATCTTTGTTAGATCAGGTTAGATCTCTGTTGTTTGCGTTAGATCTCACACAGAAATAGAGATATTAACAGTTATTTGCAGGGGGGGCTAACCCGTCATCAGCCCCCCCTTATCAAAAATTTTGATATGGGGGGGCTAACCCGGCTGAGGTTCTGGTAATTTCTTCCCTGGCCTGACTGTCCCTGGCCCCGCCCCTTTCGTTTATTGGATTTGAGTTCACGGAGGCTCATTATCACATGCGGTATTACCTAGGGCGGTCTGATTGCAAATACTAATGCCCACTCCTCCAGACTGAAATCTACTCATCAAGGCATTTTCATTAGCCAACCCACTGCTTGCATCAGACCTGAGGGCTCTTGAGAGGGGCACCGAGTTGGGGTGCGGTGATGTTTTCAGGAAGCTATGTACAGCACCCTGCTGAACCCTCCCACCAGCCATGATCTGCCTGCATTGCATAGAGAAGTATAGAAACCTGAGGATGCCACCACTGTCATACCAAACCCTTATCCTACACAGGGGGGACCCCAGGCAAAAAAAACAACAAAAAAGAGGATGCGGAGTTTAACCCTTCACATAAGAGCCCCCCTTTAGCAAAATGTTAAAAGCCCCCCTGAAAAAGCCAGACGGCACCTTGGTTGAGGAAGGCTGCTGTAGTCAATAGAGATATAGTAAGTATATAAGACTCCTGCACTTGCCACCTCCCGCTATCATCACCGTGACCTGCTGACACATTGAGCGAATATACACCAATCAGCCATAACATTGTGACCACTGAAATGTGAAATGAATGACATTGATGATCTGGTTACAATGGCACCTGGAAGTGGGGGGATATATTACAATGACACCTGGAAGTGGGGGGGGGGG